AAGCGGGGCCACAATTTAATCATTTAAATGCAAAGGTTTATTATTGGGGGGATGAATGATGCCAGATTAAATTTTGGGGTGTACACCTTCTTCCCTAGTTTCTACGTCCCTGGCTGCAATGATATCTCCATGCCAGCTGATTTGATTGTCTGGTGCTTGTGACACCCCCATTCGCCATGAAAAAAAGAGACAATTGCTGGCACATTTAGGCCCTGCTTCAGAATTACATAAATGCTATCATTAAGCTTTCAATATGAATATAAGCATCTCAATCTGCGTCATGTGATGAGTAATACATGGCACATAAAAGCAAAAAATATTACTGAATGTGCTTTTTGAATGGGAAGACTCTGGATGATAATATTAATAATATGATGATGATGATGATAATATTAATAATAATCTTCGTTCAGCCATCGTATGACTCACTCCAGCTGCCTCTTGTCTGCTCCCTCGTCAGTGGTGTATAAAGTGCCTCCCTGTCTTGAGCTCCCCAGTCCAGTCACAGATGTTGCTCCTTGCTTGTGCTCCAGTGTGTCCCATCCTGTCTGATCCTCGTCTTCCTGTTTCGACCCCTTGTGATCTTTTGAATTTGTCGTATTGCCGTATTGAGTTTCCCCAATAAAGCCCTTCTCGTTCCTCCCTACGCTAGCCCTTGCCTCCTTCCTCACCCCAATGAGACAGCATGAGCTTATTATTGTTGCTTTCTGTAGTGTAACATATGTGTTAGAGTGTAAATGTAATTTTTGTAGGCTTTTGTGTAGTGCATTTGGGATGACACCTGTGTGGGAAAGAACAATAGGGACAATGACCACCGTATCTGTTTTCCAGTATTTCATGTGCCAGATCTATTTCTGCATTTTATCTGTTTGTGTCTTTACTAGATTGTGTGTTTCTGGTATCTCAGTGTCTATAATGTATGTGATTTTGTTCTATTTGTCGATCAGTGTGATGTCAAATCTGTTATGATGGATGGTGGTTCTATGGTTCTGTTGCAGTACAGTTTATGTGACGTGTTCTCCAGCACTGTGTTCAGTGTGTATTTGTAATATGGTGTGTCCGTATCTATTACTTTATGTTCTAGTGCTAGTTCTTGGTGTATGATGTTGGCAACCTGATTGTGTCGGTGTGTATAGTCTGTCTGTGCCAGTAGTTTGCATCCAGAGCTGATGTGCTGTATTGTCTCTTGTGAATTTTAACAGTATCTACAGGTGGTGTCTGTAATGCTTGTGTCTTTGAGGATGTATTTTATGTTTTATCTGGTGTTGATGACTTGGTCTTGAATACCTAAAACGAATCCTTCAGTCTCACTGAACAGATCCCCGGGAGTAAGCCAGCTGTTTGATGCATGTTTATCGACATGAGGCTGGCTGAGTTCATAGGGTTGTCTGAGTTCTTTCTGGGTCCATTCTAGTTTTTTGAGGTGTGGGGTTGTAATATGTTCCGTTTTATTGTGCGTGTCATGTAAGCTAAGTGGTGTTTAGTTGGTGTCTGCATGGACTATAGCATTGTGTAGTGCTGATGTGCTCTGTTGTGTGTGGAAGAAGCTTCTCAGTGTGATTATCTGTGTATTGTGGAGGTTTGGTGTGTCTATGAGGCCCCTTCCATCTTCCTCCCGTGGGAGGGTGGGCTGTTCAGCGGCAGATTTTAGGTGATGATTTTTATGTGTTGTTAGTAGTGTACGTGTTTTCCTTCTGAGCTGTTGTAACTCTGTGGATGTCCAGTGTATTACTCCAGAGGAATATGTAAGTATTGGTATTGCATGTGTTGATGGCTTTGGCCAGATAACGTGTGTGTATGTGTTTTTAGTATATCTGTAAGCTGAGATGTGAATTTTTGTGTTAGTGTGCGTTTATTGTGTTTATGTTCACCATTGTCGTTGTTATTATTATTAGTAGCAATAGTACTACTACTACTACTACTACTACTTGTTGTTATTGTGTCATTATTATTACTGCTGTTGACATTATTGTTACTCCACAGAGAACCACCTAACCTCATGGCCTATGTTTGCACATTCTGGCATTCGTCACTTTATACAGTACAATCCCAAGTGTGTTTGTATGCAGTGTATTATTTATGTTTATATGTTTATGTCTTTTCATACTCTGTTCTTATGTTTTGTGTATTGTCTGCTCCTGTCTATAACTGCCGCTGTAACACCAAAATGTTCTTAGTGGGATTAATGAAAGCTATCTTATCTTTCTTACTATACAGGAATTTTCATAGCTGTTAAACATGGAAACAGTTGAAAACTTCACATTCACACAATCATGAGAGAAAGGTCTAAAGTAAGGATGGACTTTTTTGGTACTTGCTTGTAGCAGCTTTGGATGAGATGATCTTTTTTTATTGAACCCTTCAGTATTTATGCAGAATAATGGTAAGTGTTAGACAAGGTGCTTTTATGAACAGTTCGATAACATTTAATATTATTAATATCACATATAAGAACTTGAAGCCATTATAAGAAAAGCATAAATAATTTAGGTGAACTCAACTACTCTACTATTAAATTAGCAGATGAGTATTCCCAATGACTGATGCACATATCATTCAGCGTTGATGAGGTACTCATCTAAACGAGCCACTTCCTAAATGAGTCAGTCTGCTTTCTGTCTGAAAAGGAGGACTGAACAATACTGGCAAAATTTGGATCCCGGGGAAGCCATGAGATGAAGCCATCTTCGGATAGGAAGTGAGATGGCACGGAGAGTGAACATGGTGGGGGGGGGTGGCATTTTAGCATAATGAGACGTTAACGTTTCCCGGCAGCGCCATCGACAGCATCGCATTTATCTGCGCGCGCAGTGATTTGCAGGAGAGCCCCAGGCTCTTCTCAGATCACTTACCAATCTCCTGCTGTACCACGACCGGAATGAGAAGTGTCGGCCGTTTTTTGTTTGACCCAAAAGACGGTCTGTGGCTGAAAAAGAAAACACCTTCAGTGGATCAAAATCGAGCTCAGCTTCAGAGGTAAAAGTGACAGCTGCTTCCGAGGTGTCTCCCACGACAGGCTCTCTGTGCGCTGTCATAATTACAGTCCTGTGATTCATCTATTCTTCTTTTCACCGCGCTCAGTGAAAGGCACGAATGCTGACCGATGTGCCTGTGGTCACTGTGCAGCGCTGTGAGTAACAAACACGACACAAAATGAAGCGCTTAGGAGTTAAACCTGTACCGGCTACAGAGCGGCGATCTGCAGATGTCTCGCAGATCAAAGCGTAACAAACAATTTCCAAATCTTTACGGGCTAGGCAAAGATGGTTGGGCGGAGTAGGGGCTGAATTCTGAAATGTCAAAATGATATTTTATAGAGAAATACCCTGTTAAGTTCATGGGTCCAACTCCTGTCGTGCATTCTCATTATTATTCGCTGTTGCATGAATGAAAATAAGTGTCTCAGCACCAATAATCTGCTGAAGGATGATCTATACGGTAAGGGAGGCTGCAGGCCTATTTTGGAAGCTAAAAGGTGTTTGCTGTTCAGACTTCAAGGAGTAGGCTATAAATGCTGATAAAAAAAATTTTTATGCACCGGCATTCCGAAAAGAATAAAGTTTCTAAAAAATTTAGAAGTTTCTTCATTATCGCTGCTTTTTTGGTGTACAAAATTGGCTTCAGGTGACTGATGTCTTAAAAATAAACAGACAAATGAAGTTCGAAAGGCTGAATTTAATGTTTGCGTCTGCTGCGGGTTATAATAAAGGTAGGCTCATGGAGGATTCGCGAGGGAATTCCGTGTGACGCAAAGCTGTTCAGGAAGGGGGTGAGCCTCTTTGCCGTATTTAGGGCAACTGGGCACGGATGTAGTGAGCAATGGCTGTTAGGCTACGGTCCCTGCTTGTGTTCCCGAAGTGGCACAAGGCCGGTAAAGAAAAGCAGAGGTGAAAATAAAAATACAGTCCACTTGGGGGCAGTCTGGTGCCATTTTTTTAAAGTCGACGCGGCAAGCAGCAGAAGTGGCTGCATTCGTCAAGAAGCCTGACGCAGAGGGGGAGGGGGGCAAGAAGTGGTAAATAATGTATGTGATCTGTCAGAACATTATAACGCTCTCAGCTGTGATAAAGCAAGGAGTATAAATATGACTCTTTCGCGGAGTGCCCAACAATAATAACTAAAACTATAAGTAAGTGGCAAGAGCAGCGGTAGTTACATTAAACAGGTGGATCGGTGCTAACTCGGCATGGCTCTAGCCGAAAAAAAAGAAAGCCATCACTCTCCATTTATACTCATTAAGGTACATACCTTTCTCTGCAACACACAGTTTTAATGATATTACTTTGTGTTTTTGTTTCTCGTTTAAATGCAGTATTTATTGGAGTCATTTCTGATAATTAAACATATCCCTTTTTTCTCCAATTCCCCTTGGGAGAACTGACATCTTTTTCTGCATGGCCCTTGATTTTGCACACTGGATGATTGGCTGTTTAATTTCTGTATTTCAACTTTGCTAACATAAATGTGGCTGTCACGGACTTGTTTATTTATTTTTTTATTTACTTCAAGAGACTAGCTTTGTACTCATTTTGTGGCTTTGTGAGCGTGTTCTACAGTAAGGCTTCTTGGGAATATTTGAAAGATGAGTTTTGCATATTTCAGTGTAATATATTGTGTGTGTGTGTATATATATATATATATATATATATATAATTTCAGAAGGTTAAAAAAAATCTGCAAGGCAGGAGCGATGAAAGAGACATGCCTGGTTTTATTTTAGGGGTACAGTATGCAGTATGTCAAAAAACATAAAGGAAAGAGAGAAGCGAAAAAAGAAATCTTGGGTTTGACTGCTTGGGCATGAGGAATGAAAAGGATGGACCCTGGACCTGGCTTCGAGAAAGCCTACAGTAACACCAGTTCTGGGCGCATTGGATGATGGGCAAACCTTCAGGGACCAAACTGAAATATTTCTTCTTCCCCAGGTAAGCAGAGTGATCTTTCATCCGTCGCTTCAGACAGCTTGCTAGGTGTGGCCTCCAATGCTGGCTATCACTGTACAGTTGGGCAGTGTTGGCACTGTGCTTTGGATTTAGATCGAACCCACCTTCGCATTTCTGGAGTGATATGGAGGTGTTTCACTCAGGTTGCATTGATACACATCCGTTTTCCATTTCCCCTCAGATCAGACTTGCTATGCCAGGACAAGAGGTGGAAATTAAAAATCCAAACCAAGATTTTAACCAACCAGTTAAGTACTCTGTGGCCGAAAGAAAATCTTGGTCTGAATTTTTACTTTCTGGACCTGAAATTTCCACCTCTGGCTGGGACAATTACCATCTCTTATTCCATGGCAGACGAAAAACTTCATACACTCTATGAAAGTCAGTGATATCTACAGGTCTACCTCTGTGCCAGTACACCTCAGACATGTATTTCCACTATAAAATTGAATAATATGTTGCACTTGTGCGCTGAATATATGTTACATCTGCAGCATCATTTCCACTGCAATTTACCTTACTGCTGTCAAACTGAGTCCTTGTGCTTATACACACTGCAGTTGTTTCACTGGACTGTTCTGCTCATTTGATTATTCAATTTGCAGTTTCATATGAGTTATGCTACATTATGGCTGATTCTGGATTATTTTACTGGGATTTTTCAGTAGAATTATCTGTTATATTGGATAATATGCACCATGCCTGTATAATACTGTTGCCTCTGGACAATTTTACTCTTTCCGTTGAAAATCTGATGGAGAAAATTAGTATTGCTATGTATTTATTAAATCTGCAGGTTATTCTGTAGCTGCTGTGTTATTCTTATATTGGTCAAGTGACCTGATCATTTCTGTGCTACAGTAGATCATTCTGCTGTAGTTATATTCTATATATATTGCAGGGGAATGATTTGTTTTTGCCCTCATTACATTATATAGTCAATGATATGATGTCATAACACAGGCATATCTGGGATACTTTGTAATAATTTTATTTTATAGGATTATGCTGCTCATGTTACTTCACTACAAAGTTGCCTTTCTTGGTATAAGTAACCAGATCTTGTGAGGTACATCATGGAGGCTGGGCGGTGCTCATTGTGTGAGGCTCATGTTGAGATCCGACCGTCTTGCCGAGAGCACTCGCGTGAGTGACAGGCCGCGTCTTTGTACAAGCGTGTAAGTCCACTCTCTGCCTGTCCCTGATAGCGCTGAATAACCCAGCCTATTGTTATCTACCCTTTAATTCGTCATTCCGTGTCCAGAGCTATTCACCGCTATCCAGTAATCCGCGGCCCCTTTTTTCTCTGTCCCCAAGCTGTGTCGGATTCTATTTGCCTCTTTTTTTCCTTTTTTTTCCTACCCAGCTGGGACCAGAGTGTAGATGATTTTTTTTCGGAACTCTAGGGTGGGTGATCAGCTCGGAGCTGGGGGAGCGATGGGCTGCCTAGAGATCCCGCTGCTGGGGCCTACTCCCACGCTGCCCCTCCCCCATCCAGGGATGGGAACAGGTGCTGTTTTTGTTTGTTTGTTTGTTTTTGGCCATAGCTGTGCCAAGCCCAATCTGCTGGGCTCTTTTACAGCAGTTTGCTTCCTTAGGAAAGAGTTTTTTATCCGACGATCGAAAATGAATATCGCACCGCAGTGCTTCCACAGCTTTGGCGTTACGCTGCATCTTTCTGCCTGCTTCCTGGATTATATTCAGATAACTCATTTAAAAATTTCCCACAAAAACATACTTGTTTATTTCATTTTTTTCCTATTGAGCTGGTACAAAATACAAATGAGAAATATTGCTTTTAAAAGTTTTGAACAACTTTTAACTTCCACTGTACAGTCATGCTGAGAAATGCCACCACTATGTCTATGAGCTTACCACCATACACTGTATACCCAGCAGTGTTAATGCATTTCTGACTGCATGTATAACACTGTTCACGCAATGAATGTATGTATGTCTGCGAACTTATGATTGTATGTGTAAGACTTGTTACTATTCAACACTTGTACAGTAAATGCATGTATATCACTGTTTAATCACTTATGAGTCAGCTGGATGAAACGACTGCGCTGTAGATTTTAGGGCAACTTTAACATAAAAACAAAGTTAAAGTCTAATGAAGACTGATTGTCCCCAACATACTGGATGATGAAGGGATTTGTTGGGCCCTTTGATTAAAGCCCTTTCGTTCTTCTCCTTCAGTTTTTGGATTCATTCATTGTTGGGCATTCCAGCTCTCTTTTTAAAGGGGTGTTTTGACCAGTGTCTTTTGATTTGGGCTATAGCTTAATGGTGCTTTTGTCCAGTACTGTTTGATTTCCAGTGCTTGGGGCACAGATGGACCTAACCTGCCCATGGAGACTTTACATCAATACAGGGGGAAAAGACACAGAACTAAGATAATCTGCATGTGAAGACCAGGAATTTTCCAGAAGCAAACATTAGCATATTGATGATGACATACAAACAACATTTCTTTTGTGTCTATTGGCCCAGTTTTATTTTAGGCCACACACAAACACACACACACACACACACTTATGTGCGTGTTTTTATATATTGCTTCTTAAGTTAAAGTTGTACATAGTTTTTCAGATTGCTTTTGGACTTTCTGATACAACTTCAAGCTCACAGCTAGAACCCAAACTCAGTTGGCTTTTATTTGTTTATTATTTCAGAACAACCGAGTGCTTTTGATGTGTACTGTCTGTTCCCCATGGCCATTGTAGCAATGCAGAGATATGTCTTTTAAAGTTGCAGAAGCTGGTGGGGAGCAGCGTGTAGCTCAGCAGGTTGGGCCCATGTGCCTGTGATCAGAAGGTTGCTGGTTCAGATCCCGTGGTTGGCTGATTTCACCATTGGGCCCTTAAGCAGGGTGTATCATCCCCAATTGCTCCAGGGTCTCGCTATCCCTGCTTTCTGAAAAGATTCTGTTACTTTGCACAAAAGCAACTACTAAGTAAGATAATTGTAGTTGTAGTGTCCTCTATACAGTGGTCAGTGATTTTAGGAACGATGATGTTAAAGAATTAGAACTTCCAGCTTGTAACCCTATGATTCATAGGTGATCCATAATTTGGAATGAAAGCTGTGTAAGAAAACTATGGAGTTGGGGGAAAAAAAATATTACAGCTGAAACTGAAGGCAGAACAGTGTTGGCAAACCGTTTAAGCAGCTGATATCGGTGTGAAACATCTGAGCACTTTTATCTGTCTTAGAGGAAATTAAGCACCTTTTATGTGTTTTACTCTAGGCAGAAAGCTGAAGGTAAGCTGCTTTCCAGCTGTGGGACAGCTGTGTACTGCTGCACTGTTATAGAACAGCCACAATTCACACAACATGGTGGCAATCAATTTTCAGCATTTCTCAGCTAGAAGGCTATAACTGCTTGGCTTAAATCAGGGGGAGGCTGACTTTTACAGAGTGGCAGATAACATCACAGAGACCAACAGGTTACAGCATCAAATCCTGAGAACAAGGTACCTGAGACATGGTAGGCTGTGTGCTTAGGTGAACAGACATAACCAAAGTTCTTCAGGATATCCTGAAGACTACAAGTTAACTGGATCAAAATACAAAATAAAATAAAATAAACATTTGTAACTAAAGAAGCTGAGTTCATCCATCTAACCAATTAGATGTCTTGGTCCTGCCTCCTGTAGTTGCTTGGTCCCGCCTCTGGTTTTCTCTGAACTAATAATTTTTCTTCTGCCCTCAGAACATTTTTTGTTTAAATAAAACTCCTATAAAGACATTTGTTTTATTCTGGGTGATGGGAGTCCACAGCCAAACCTGCGTGTTGGCGCAAGGCAGGAAACAACCCAGGGCCAAGCACACACACCATATAGGCAATATGGCAACTCCAGTTCACCATCGCATGTTTTTTTGCTGTGGAGGAGAACCAGAGGAAACCCCATGCAGATAACGTGCAAAATCCATAAACACAGACCTAGGGTGAAGGCTGGAATGCTGGTCCTAGAGGTATAAGGCAGGGCCACACTAATCACCATGCCGAAACTAAGTTAATCTTCGCGAAAAGAAACTTTAAAGTAAGCATGTATTAAGCACCTTTGGTCTCCACCATACTGTAAAAAATAAGATGGTAAATATCTGTCTGATGTTACAGTTTGCACAATAGGTTGCATCTCCAGAGCAGTCTGTCAGTTATCCTTTGCTTGTCTCTTCGAAGGAGGGAGGAAACGCTGCAGGTTAGAACAGACAAACTAAATCAACACGTCCTCGCAATTTTCCATCCTGTCCCTCTATATTGGCTTCTGGCTCTAAATCCTCAGGGTTTACTCTGTACACCACAAAACACTATATGTATTTTTTTCTTTCTTTAGGTACCTTACCTTCATTATCTCGACGCACAAATTCACATATTTCAGGCAAAAAAAATAAATGTTTGCACTTTGGGAAATTATGATACTGAGAAATTATGATGCATACTAATGATATTTTCCCACAGGTTAATTTGCCAATTTGTATAATTTGCAAACACGGAAATCATTATTTTCAAGGAAACGGCAAGAATTGTAAGTTTCTAAGAAAAGACAAATGGCTTTTAGCTACATATCTGATTTCCTTTGTATCTGTTCTACTTCTTGCTGAGAGGATGATATGACTGAATAGGTGTGAATGCTTTCTCTGTTGGTGACAGCATGTCGCTGCAAATCATGTCAAAACCACAACTTAATATTTAATTAGCTGTTTTTAAATCTAACATCTGGGAAGTGGGAGACTGAGCAGTATTCTCTCAAAGTGAAATTTACTCAAGAACATCTTGTGAGGAGAGTTTACCTCAGATGTGAACCAAGTGCAACTGGCTTAATATAACTTTTATATTGATCAGTTATTTTTTTTAAATTACACGCTAATAATACTGCTATTACTAATACAACTACTAATAAGTTTTACAGTAAAGGTATAGCTAGCTATATAAATGTGTAGTTGCAGTAGCTGCTGGTCTAGCTAAAGAGTTGGGCCAAAAGAATATTTCCTCAATATATAGTTTTTTTTTTTAAAGAGTAAATATGTCAGGTATTGAAAACACTGTAGAGACAAGGGTCTTTGGGTAACTTAATGAAGTAAATAAATCATGCACTATAATTTAGTGGGGAGCAGTACAGTGTCCTGACAAAGAGCAGCAGCAAACCAGCCTGGTCCCCAAACGCTCCGGAAAATCTACACAAATGCTTCCGGAAGCGCAGTGTTATAAATGTTTACTCAAAGCCAAAGTGGTATAATTATGCAGAGGAAGTGCCCTGTTACATTGCTGACCAGGTTCATCCACCTCCACAAAGCGCTGTGCCCATTAATAATGAACATCGCCTTCAAATATTAATGCAGATTTTTGCACACAATCTTCAGAGCCCATTAATGAGATCTTTGCAAGATTTTATTTAATTTAGAAGGATTAGACAAGCCTGACAGCTGGCTTTAATGAAGGGACACGTGAGTTAACGGGTTAAGATGATTATGAAAGATAATCTTTCTCGTGGTTCCATTAACGAAGATGAAGTGGGAGGTTGCACTCCAGCAATTGAACTGGCAGATGAGACTCTGCCGAGATCCGCTGAATCGGTGATGTCCTGTTTTTTTTTTCTTTTTTGCTATAGTTTGCGTTGCTGGTAACTGTATTATGCAGTTTATTTTTGCATTGCCTTAAACGGAGACTCTGCATACTGTGCAGATTGGCCGTTTATGGTCAGTTTGGTCTGTGTCTCGTACCTTCCAGACGCCCGCAATACTAATGACTGGTAGCCAGTT